TTGTTGTTAGTTCCATTATTGCTGTTTTTCTCCTTTTCCTCTCCTTTTTTGTTTGTTTTTTTTTTTAATGTTTAGGGCTTCTCCCTCTTTCTCTTCGCCCCTCTATGTCCCTCCCCTGTTCCTCCCCTGTCCTCTTATAATAATAATAATAATAATAATAATAATAATAATAATAATAATAATAATAATAATAATAATAATAATAATAATAATAATAATGATAATAATAATAATAATAATAATAATAATAATAATAATAATAATAATGATGATGATGATGATAATGTACATGTACATGTGCCCTAGCCTATTAGCTAGTGTATAGCAGGGTTGTTCAGTTGTTCAGGTTATTACAGTTACAAATAAGTGAAGAGACTGGCCACTTACCCAGCTAAAGACAAAGCAGTGATACTAGAATTTGCACTTGCTTTCTGTGATACACTGATATAGTATTGAAAGTACCGTATTTCCTTAAATAAAAGCCCGGGCGTCTATTTCCTAAAATGGTATTTGGACCTCGAAAAAATATATAAAAAATAAAAAAACTTAGGCCCAGAGCAGGGTTCGAACCCGTAACCTCATGCTTTTGACTTCTGGTACTGCAGGCATTATCCACTAGACTAGTGAGTCACTCCTAGGCTAGTGTTGCGTATTTATACTTAAATTGTATTGCTACCCCGGCGTTTATTTAAATGCGGCTTCTATTTAATAGTGCTGGGCGATATTAAAAATTTTGAAACGATACGATATGATACGATATTGCCTAAAAATGAGGATATCGATATTTTTTATCGATAAGTTATTAAGCCACACCCATTAACTTTAATATTACTAAAATGTCTAAATAAAGCTATTTCTGAGAAAAATTATTATTGAAAAGCATTATATAAACCTTCTTTGGCTTCATATACTTCAGCTACTTCATCTACTTTCCAAGAAAATACATTTTAGTAATTTTCGAGATGTTACTCCTATAGTTAATTAACCATTTATTAAGGTTATGTAACCATTTTATGGGCGTGGTCTCATTATCAATATTTTCTTCAATTTTTTTCGATATTGATAAGTATCGATACCGCATTATATCGATTAAATATCGTGAGTTTTGATATATCGCCCAGCACTACTATTGAAGGATTTACGGTACATGTAATCACACTAGCTGTGGTAATAATATACACATTATACAATCTGTGCTTAAATAGACTTAAAAGTACTTAAAAGACTTATAAGTACATGAAGTACATCAAGTACATAGACTAATACTTAAGTATAAGTACAAGTAATAAAAAATATGTACTTAAGTGCACTTAAGTACAAGTACCAATGTACTTCACCCCAACCCTGGTGTATAGGTTGTGTAGTATAGTTTATATACATGTACATCAGACTTGGGTCAAATACTAACAGTATTTGTAATTAATCGTATTTAAATACTTTAAAAAGTATTTGTATTTTGTAATTTGAGTTTTGTAACAGGAAGTATTTGTATTAGCAATTGAAATACAGTATGGAAGTATTTCAAAATACAGCAAAATACTTTAAAATGCTTTAACTTTTTTCTTTCATGTG